TATATGTCATAATTAAGCTGGGGTATAAGGAGGCGAAGTCCAAACCTGTGACAGGACGTTTATTCTCAAGACCCTTTACCGGTGGGAAAACATAGGCTCCAGGGTATTTTCCTGTTTCCGTTTGTTCACATGGAATTGTACTGGTTAAAATCCCTTCCTGCCACGCACCGGCACTTAAAAGATTACGCACTTTCATTCCTACTGCAAAATAATGTGAATCATATAATGATATGAAGGCCACGGATGCCACCTCCCTGTACTCGTTAATTGCATTTCGCTTTACCATTAACCGCTGACAGCTAAGAGCGTCGATAATGCAGTATTTGGCCACTTCACGCATCTGCTCGGCCGTTGTAACATTTGTTTCTTTTAATGCTCTTTCATAATATTTGTTCATACGGTGAATAGGTAAATCCACTTTGTTTTCAAGATTACACTCCCCTAAGTAATATGCGAGACTACTTTTTTCGGCTTTAGAATAAAATCCCATAAAACAGGGCCGGACGTCAATAGCCACACAGCCGGGAATTTTAAGATGTTTCGAATGGAATTTTCCATCATTTACTTTTATCATGTTATATCGATATTCCCATTTTATAATTTTTTCCAGGCTTGATGGCTTGAATGACATATGATTGAACATCCATTCGAGAACTCCTAATTTATTAGCTTTCTCCACAATAAATTTCCAGTCGTATTGTGAATCATTAAAGCCTATATATATATCTGGGGCTAAATTCTTCCAACATAATGCAAAGGCCTTTAACAAGTTGGTTTGAGACCCGCATATGACTGTAATCCATTGTGGATCTGGCGCAGTTTCAACATCGACAAGACAGATTCGTTTTAACGGTTCGGGATCATCCTTCCAATGAACTGTCATACAAATCATGAACACAACGTCCTCTTCATATTTTGCATTGGGCACCCCACCCATTCTTCGTGAACTGTATGTCTCTATATCCCATGTTAGGACTAGAGTGCGATCCCGTAAAAGTGTAGAAGAAATTAATGGATTGTTATACTCGTCATCGCTTATTGGGTTGTAATTGTTCACGGATACTTGGAAGAGATAAGTACCCTCCTGAATGCGTTCGTATAAATAATTACTTAATACTGCCCAACTCGAAAGAGGTAATCTTTCTTCACGGGCTATTTTGCGATAATAATACTGGCAGGTTAGATCATCTGAGGCTGTATGAATGCCAACTTCACGAACCGCTTTCAATGCCTTGTTCCGATCAAAGTGATTCCATGTAGTAATGCGAATATAGGCTCTCTTTTCTGTATGATACCCTCTAAGTGGGTATGCACGAATATCCTCAAACCCAAACTTTGATGTGTTTTTAAGTGTAACAGATAAAATGCGTGCTAATATAGTCTTAAATGAAGAGGAGGAATAATTTTCGGGTACTTCAGCATCAAAGAAGGGTCGGATGTCTGTAATATTCACGACTGCCTTTTGCCCATTAATCAAAGAACCGGTGATACGCAAAATATAGGTGGAGAGCCCATTTACATATTTGGTATCATCACTAACTTCCGTAGGCATAAAATGTATGGGTTGCTTGCCGAATAGGCTTTGTTGAAGTATATCGGTCATCCCGTTATCATATTCTGATACGATATTATTGCGTGATGGGATACCAGCTAAGGACTCGGCGCCGTCGTAGCGGGCGAGCGTTGGGCCAGATCTAGTGCGATCAGTTTGGTCAAAAATAGTTGAGGTACGCATGTTGACAATAGGTAAAGTTATTATATCATAATATATTTCTGAAATGTTTAATTATTTTTTTCGATAGATAGATAAAAAAATAGACGTATAGCAAGTTGCGAGAAAGTGCCAGAGAAGTGTTAGAAACTGAAAACATGAAGGGGGGTAACTTCAGAATTATTATATAAAAAATGGAAGAAGCCCCAATACGAACTTAGTGAGCAAATTGCAGATAAATTGATTCTTAGTAGGTGATATTTAGGGTAGCCTTCTTCGTAATTATTATATAGAATATTGTGACAGAAGAAGGCTACCC